GGCATATAATCGGGCCGCGTGTGGTTAGAGGACGGATAGATCTTGCCAAGGATTTTGCTCGACTCCACACTTCCTTCCCGTGTGTCACACACCGTTTTATCTTTGTCGCAGCTTCAATTCAGATTAATCGCGAAGATTCGACCGAAGAATGAAACTCGATCGAAAATCGAAATGGCGATGATTAATGTCTTTCTCTCTTTCTCTCTCTTTCTTTCTCTCTCCCTCGCTCTTTTTCTCTATCTCTTTCTCTCTCTCTCTCTCTTTCTCTGTCTCTCATCTTCGAGCGTTCGATGATGGAGAAACTAAGCGGGCTTTTAATTTTTAATCGATTCGACCGAGCTTTATAGTGTCAAATCTCGTAATTCAAGTTAAGCCTGTACACAAGTATTTTGGTTGTTTTTTTTATTTTTTTTGTTTTTTTTTTTTTTGTTTCATCTTCTCGTTTTACATTCACACACGCAAGTGCGGCTCACTTTTCGCACGGTCGGAAAAAAAAAAAAAAAAAAGAACGAGTTTCGATTTATTCATCATTCTTCAATTTTATTCTTAAACTGTTCTGAATTCCCTTCTGAAATTTCTAACTAAGAATAATAAAAATAGTATATATATATATATAGTAAATAATAAATAATAGTAAATGAGAGATCGTATTGATCGTAGTATCCGGATCCACTCTCGAGATCAAGATTTATCCGTCCCCTCGACAGCAAGATGTAACAGCGATAATAATAAATAAAAAAAAAAAAAAAAAAAATTAATACAGAAACCAAAAAAAAAAAAAACAAAAACAAATAGAAAACAGGAGAAAGAAAAATAAAAAAAAAAAAAAAAAATTAATACAGAAACCAAAAAAAAAAAAAAAACAAAAAAAAATAGAAAACAGGGGAAAGAAAAAAAAAAAAAAAAAAAACAAATTAAAACAAAAAGAAAAAGAAGAGAGGAAGGAAGATCGTGGGCTGTTCTGTTGCAGCTGACGGACAGATCATGGTCGACTACGAGGACGAGTTCGATGAGTTTGGGGACTCAAAGTGTTCGCTGTGCCAGCGCAGATTTGAGGAGCAAGGTAAAATCCTCCCCT